TCTCTGATGATCACGTTTTTTTGAAGCACATCGCCTTTTTGCTATTCTCATACTCCTGGGATAAGCGTAAATTGTTCAGTTGCATTCCATTCATTGAGCTTATGTATGTGTATTCTTTACTCAACAATACGAATGGTCTCATGAGGCGATTGCATTAAAAAACAAAACATTTGAGTGGATCATAAACAATTTCACAAGAAGTATATTTGTTAACTTCATCAGAGGATTTCGAAAGATTTTGGATGATTTCAATTTTGTTCTTCATTTGTTGCATGTCAACAAAACGGTTCTTCTGTAATTGCCATCAGATTTTTTGGTCTAAATTTTGGTTTTCGATTGAATCGCAAGCCCATCCTGATCGTATTCATGGACTTCTGGTCGAATTCTCAATGCTATTGGAAAATTTGATCTGAAAATGTCGATCAATTAAAATTCATAATATTAGAATCAAAAATTTCGATGTAAATTCAGTTTTACTTGGCCCATTTTGCAATGAAATCATGCAAACAATGATGTCGACTCGAAAGAATGAAGCAAATTTTTTGAAATTCTTTTATGAGACGTTTAATAACGGACATCAAAGCCCCAAGAGAACTGAAGAGTACACACCACTCAAAGGCATTGATCATACACAACGACGAGGCAGGGAATGATTCTGGCCAAGAAAAAAAACACTCGAATTCATTGTTTCTAGTCATTTTAGTATTTGTCAACGTCTCGGTCAGTTTTGCACTCAAATTTATTGTCACTCAGAGTTTTCGCATCTCTGTTATTCCGTTCACAATTCGACTAATAGTTTGAACAATGAAAATGTTGTACTAGAAATGAGGCCCAATCATCTAATCATGATATACGAGGTATCGTAGACCTTTAATGCTCATTTCATACTCTTCCATATCAGCTGAATATTCACTCTTCGAGAAAGTTATTTTTTCACGGAATTAACAGAAATTTGTTATGTGCCCTCTTGATTATATGGAAAGTTCGCTCAAATTTGCTCGAATTCACTTGATACATCGTTTTAAAGAATTTGAATTTTCATTAGATTTCCAATCGTTTGAACGCATAATTTCATTCAGATTTCATTAAGCACCATTTTTAATGTGAATTATATTGTGATGTTCAATTTTAGATTGTTGAATGCTACAGTATTCAGCGTCAATAAATCGTAATGTACATCATGGTGGTGCACAGGTGCTACAAAAATCAAAATCGGGCAAGATTGTGAGGGATGCGCCGCAACAAGATATGCAGTCCACGATAACCACTGGAGCGTTTGCTGTCAGTAAAATGCAAAACTATTCTTAGTTAGTAGCATGACCAAACCCTGATAAAATACATTTCAGTATCATAAGTGCTCCTATAGATCACTGCTTGAACCAGCACATGATTAGTGAGTCATTAAGAAATATCGTGCAGTGCATAGTAATATCTTATATTCCATAATACTTTTCAATGCTGTAATCATTCATATAGATTACGACTTGAAGCAGCACATGATTAGTGAGTCATTACGAAATATCATGCAATGCATAATAATATCATGTAATCCATTGATCCACCTCAACAAATCAATGATCGATGAAGAAATTGAAGTTTTCAGATAGCAAATCGGGCCGAGCAAACCCTGGTAAGCTTTCAAAAAAAGCCACCGCTATGTTTTCGTATCTGCATGAGTGCCTACAATAAATATGGTCTGAAACATGTCATACTTCTTTTGGTGTTCTTTTTCTATACATTTTTTGGTGCATTCGTCTTCTTGATCATCGAGGCGCCCGTTCAACATAAACTCAAATTTCAATGGGAAAATGTTAGTAGTGCCTGTCACTTGAAATCATTATTTCGTTAATGAATTATATCTATAAGTTGGAATACTTCCTTGATTAGTCTCCAGAATACTTGATACCTTGATTGANTTCATTTGAACAATACAAACTCAATATTAATATTGTTTCAAGTAGTTTCTTTTCAAGTAGTTCATTCGCAACTTCAGAGAATAACAGCGAATCGAAGTGTTTTTGTTGATGGACTTATGAAGGAACTATTCAATAACTCACAGTTTTTGGTCTATATCAAAGGTGGTACATCGAAACGAATTCGAAATCATTTGAACCTGTGAGTGTGCTAAGAGCTCATTTCGTAGCGATAACTATCAATAAGCGATGACATAATCCTATTTTTACATCAATCATCTCCTATTAAAACGTTATGATGCAAACCATATGTTACTGCCATTACTAAGGATTTGAAGTTTTTTAAGATAAGTTTTACAGATCGTTCATACGATACGAGAAACAGTTAGGCATAAAATGGACCGAGCAGAAACTTGAATGGGATTACTGGAATGCGGTTATTTTTGCAGGTACCATATGCACAACAATAGGTAGGTAAAGTGTTCAGATATCTTTGAATTGTACCGATTGTGAGGTGAGATCCGTTCAATTACTCAAGTTTGAGGTGATTTGGTTCAGTTACCCAAAATCCACGTTGGTCATTGTTCTACGTTGATCATTTGTTCCACGTTGATCATTTCTGGTTTAACATTTGAGATAGTGTATTGCCCGACTTGCCTGAATACAACTGGGGTGCACAATCAAAATGACCTGAAATTTAGGCAGAGATTCATCTTATAATCCCTCGAAGAAGTCCAATTCCTCAAGCAATGTTTACTCATTCTCATGAATCTGAATTCATATCTGGGTTTGGATGATCAGAAATCGGAAACTGAAGATCTAAGAAGATGGAATATTTTGGAGTGACATGAATGAAAATTATTACTGGTTGCTTAAATGATGACACTTGTTGCTTAAATGAAAAATGACAATTCATTCATTTCAAATGAATAATTGAAGGTTATGGTCATATTTATCCATATACAAATCTCGGCAAAGTTCTTACCATGATATACGCATTAGGTGGTATACCACTGGTGTTGTTGCTACTGCAAGATCTTGGCAAATTGCTAACCGTCTCGATGAAATACCCGTGGTTTCAGTTCAAACGCTGTTTGCGCAGAATGCTCAGGTGAACACACTATTTCAACCATAATTAATTGATATCTTGAACAACCTCAAGATTTTTTGCTCCTTGTGATGTAAGAGCTGCTATGATTCTTGCAAGTATGTGGTCAAATGTTCAACAAAACATCAGCTTTACTGACCAAAATATTTCTAGTGCTCAATATCTTAAACATCACTGAACAGGGGTAGGATTTACGATTAAATAGAGATAGGATGGCAGTTCTGAGTACCAAGTGAGAGTAGTATTGGCCATATAAAATGACAGGGATGAATGGAACCAGGATGAAATTGTTAGCAATATGACTGATCAATGATCAGTCGATCAATCGATTTTAATCGATAGATAGAATGAGTTAGAATGGAGAAACGCATAAGTGAAATTATCATGAGTTATTTCTGTGCTGAAAACTTTGGAAAACTTTCAAATTTGAAAAAAAATAATTCCGAAAAAAAATTGATATTTGAAGGTTATTCACGAAGCAATCGTTAACTGAAATGGCAGCAATTGAATTTGAAGAACGAACGAATTTATACGTTTTCGATGTACCGATTCCAGCCGCTGTAGCGTTGATCGTGATATGGTTGTGGATATGCGCGACTGTTTTCTGTAATCTCGACAAGAATTGGACACTTCTACAAGCATTCTACTTCTTTTTCATTTCATTGAGGTTCATTGCGTTCAAAATCGATTGTGTTCAATTGACCTTCAGTTGATTTTACAGTCTTCTGTATTCTTCAACCAGTAAAATGATTCAAATCAATCCTGATTCTAGCGATTCATCGATGTTCCCATTCAGCAATGGATTGATTCAATATTTGCTTCAGTAATTTACAGATTAAATTCTTTCATAATCTTTACTGCTAGGGGCCTGCATAGGGAGATTAAGGAGATGAATTTCTCTCTATTAGAAATTCCATTCATGGGATATTAGTTATAATATTAGTAACAATAATGGTGGTAATGGTAACAACAACAAAAATATTTCAACTGAAATGATTTCAGTACAATTGGACTCGGTGACCTAATACCGTCCTCTCCACACACTCTAATCTCGATGTTTGGCTTTATCGTGTTCGGTCTTTCACTTGTATCGATGGTTGTCAACTTAATTCAAGCAAAAATGCTGAAGACTTACGATCCAGTCAATCAAACCGAGAACACTCCGCTGTTACAGAACAACAATGACCCCCATCCTAACAACAGAACAGCCAAAAAACCCTTCGCTACATTAGGTGTTATTCAGGTTCGTGTTAATAATTTACTATAATATCAGTAACAATCTTGACAAATCCTAGCAATCTCATCTGTATATCAGTAGTAATATTCAGCAAGTTAAGAGCATTCGAAACTGATCCAGCTTAATGAAGACAATCGCACGTTCGAGTTTATTACGAATGTAATCGAGCACATACTGCTTCTCATTGAAGTGAAATTACTCTATCATCAGAGATCCGTCATTGATTCAGTAGGTTTCTGTAATGAATGAAAATTATTTTGCAGTGTTTCGACGGTCTTAAGAATGCAGCTGAGGGGATGGAGAACTCTGAAGAGATGTTGATACCTCGACGATTAACACGTTCAACTCAAACAGCCGTCAGTTTACCACCATCCAAAGGGGTTTGCTTGCTCTTATTTATATTTATATGCTATTGGTTTATGTTATTGACATGTATCGATGAATTTTCATAATATTATATTATTAAAAATATGTTTCCATCAAAATTTATGAGAATATCACACGAACTAAATCGGTACACATTCAAGAAAGAAAAGAGGATAATGCCATTCTTTTGCCGGAGTCCGGGTAGCAAGATCAATAGAAAGTACTTCATTTGAGGCAGGAAAGGGAGGAGAAGTATTGATTCCATTCAGATTATGATTTGATTTCACTCGTATTATGAGCGAAACTTCTGCGAATCTGAAATTAACTTCGTAAATTTTACAGTCGCTAACATCACATTGCTGTGTTCATTGGATGACGAGTAATCACCTGATTGGTGCGAATTCACCAGATGATGTGACTTTATTGGTCGGCAATACCGAGGAATTGTTGATGAAGGATTTGGGTGAAACCAACTCAGAGGTGGACGACTTGAGTGGTGATCTTGTCACTGAGATCACGACGCTTCAAGAGGATAGCAATAAACCGCTGAAATTACCGCCGTTAGCTGACCACAACGATTGTCCATCACTGTAACAAGCCGCATAGATCACATTCATATCATACTGATCACTTGATTCCGATATCATTCACCTAATCCGATTCTACTCAAAAAATTGCTGAATAATCTCTCGTGATAAGCGTGCTCTCATCAGACGAGAAGACCAAATGAGATTGAGCGAATTATTTCGAAGTTTTAGGTCGATGTTGCTCCTTCCATTCAAGGTTTGACTGAAATGAGAGCATAATCAATTCAGTTGTTGAACTGAATTCAACTGCTGTGTCAATATCATTACCTTACCATTGCATGTTCTGAAAGAAGATCTTAACTTCTTTCGTTTTATACTGAACTTATGATAAAAAATCTGAAATTAACTTCATAAATTTTGCAGTCGTTAACATTACATTGCTAGTTCATTTAAATACAT